TTGCCGATAGTTTATTGAACGTGCCTAATGAACCTCGGATGATATCCTGTTCGATGCCCGCGGAACGCATTCTTCGACGACGGAACAAATTTGCATAAACACTTTACCGCGTGGTCGACCGTTAAAACATTGAATACAATTTTCTTGTATACGGCACTTTTTTTTGCTTTTTAGTTCTTGGTATAAAGCCTACATATTTAAGAGAACGGCCAGCGTTTCGTAAGAACGTTTCTTGTTGCCTAACACCTCCTTGTGAAACACTTTGGCTGCAAAATGAGCTAAAGCGCAGGTGAACACCGACACCTGACCGAGAGATCAAGAATTTCGAAACTCACTCGTTTCGGCAATGCACGCAATTGTTCTCGTTAAATGAGTCCGAGGACAACGGGTTACATCCGTTACCTCTTCCTTACATTTTTATATCGTAGATGGCATGCCATTTCAGGCCTACTTTCAAATGTTTATTAAAGCTTTATTATAATTGAATATGTCTTTATGGATAATAAACCATGATGAGTCTATTATTCGGTCAAGGACGAGTTATGAAAAATATAAGTGTAAATACAGGGTGCCCGGAAATTGCGTTCATATATTTAAAGGTGTGATTCTACATAAAAAATCATGAAGAAAAGTTCATATAAAGGTGTGTCCTAAAATGCTTCCTAAGGGAGGTAGAGTACTTTGAAGAAGACATTCAATATGTGGTTATTTCTCATTATTTCAAAAACTACTAGGGTTAGAAACACGAAATTTTCCATATCTAGCTATTTTTACGGGGCAAATACGATAATCGAATGAAAAATTAGAAGGAATGTGCAGTTGCGGAAATAAGGGATAGGGGGCGCAATTTATTTCCCATATTTCTTTTTGCTTTGATCTTTTCACTATTTTAACCTCAAAATTAGAATCTACGGAAAAAAATACATAAAAAATGTTCTGCTTATAAAATGGTCTACGACCACTCGTTTTCAAAATAAATAATACTAAGTAAAATACTGCACACAAACATGTGTATTAAACTATCACTAAAAATCTTAATAGCCTTCTTACATTGGTTTGATTTAAGCTGTCAAATGGGTGATAAAAAATTACTTCGTACATTGTCTACAAAAATTTCTGCGAATCATGGTTAATTTTATCAAAATGCTTCAAAAGATTTACAGATTAAGGTTTAAATATTACCGTACTTGAACGCTGAAATGAGGAGGAGCCCCATCATGCATAAACCACATTTCCCTTCATGTTTGATACGGCACTTCTTCCATCAGTTCAAACAAGCTATTTTGCAAAAAGTTAAGATAAGTTGTACCGTTGAGACGGTTATCAAGTACATGTGGACCAATTAAATGATCCCCAATAATACCAACCTATACATTAATAGAAAATCTTTCTTGATGTTTCGTGGCTAAAACATTCTATGGGTTTTCATCGGCCCAAACATGAATATTATCGAAGTTAATAACGCCATCTCGGGTAAATCCAGATTCATCGGTAAACAACACTTTTTCCGGAAAATTTCTGTCAAGGCGCCATTGTTCCATAATCCAACGACTAAACTGTAGTCTTGGGATGCTATCGGTGGGTTTTAAGGCCTGCACCTTTTGGAAATGATATGGATGCAGTAGCTGATCTTTAAATATCTCCCAAACGGTGGTTTTCGGCACATTTTCTTGTACCGATAATCTCCTAGTGCTTGTTGTAGGATTGATAGCTACTGCATCGAGCACCCTTTCTTCCACTTCTACAGTCCTCGTAGTGCATGATCTTCCACAGTCGTAACGATTTTCCTTAAAGCGCCCAGTTTCACACAATCTTCTATGAATAGAAGCGAACGTTTGTTCACAGGGAAGTTGTAGGTTTGGATATCGTTCTGCGTACAATCATCGTGCTTCTCTGGCATTTCCATCAGCTCTACCGTACGTAAAGTGAATGTTTGCCATCTCTTCGTTTGAGTATTGAACCATTTTGATTTAATTAAACGTAAATTATAATGGTTGTTGCACTAAAATAATTTTTTATCGACCGTTTGACAGCAAAGATCAACAAATGAAAGGAGCCTACTAAGATTTTTAATGATAGGATAATACACATGTTTGTGTGCAGTATTTTACTTAGTATTATTTATCTTGAAAACGAGTGGTCGTAGACCATTTTATAAGCAGATCATTTTTTATGTATTTTTTTCCGTAGATTCTAATTTTGAGGTTAAAATAGTAAAAAGATCAAAGCAAAAAAAAATATGGGAAATAAATTGCACCCCCTATCCCTTATTTCCGCAACTGCACATTCCTTCTAATTTTTCATTCGATTATCGTACTCGTCCCGTAAAAATAGCTAGATATGCAAAATTTCATGCTTCTAACTCTAGTAGTTTTTGAAATAATGGGAAATAACCACATATTGAACGTGTTCTTCAAAGCGCTCTACCTCCCTTAGGAAGCATTTTAGGACACACCTTTATATGTAGTTTTCTTCATGATTTTTTATGTAGAATCACACCTTTAAATATATGAACGCAATTTCCGGGCACCCTGTATTTATCTTGGTGAAGTTATCTACGGTAGAATTGGATGACCGGTAATAGAAACGGTCTCTAGTAATTTTTAGGTGTGTTGAACTCTCGTACGTTTATCGTAGTCATTGTATTTACATAATGAAGCAATAAACGCATCACGACGCGCCATTAGCATTAAGAGTAGCGGACCGGCGCCTTTATCTCGCATTGTATTTGGAAGGCCCTAAGTTTATAAAGGTATCTTCGCGGAAGCGGCCTCAAGAACAGAACGGAGAACTCGGGCTGAGATTATCTGGGGCCGGTTGCCGAAGGTTGCGCCGTTCTTCCTGAATTGCCCCGATATCGCACGACTTATTGTGAAGGTTAGAAGTAAAGTTTCAGTTTCCTCCGGCACTATTAAGCGCGAAACCGACTCGCGTAACTTTCCCGACTTAAGTGACAGCAAGATGTGAATGGAAGTCCTCGGCGGCGAATATAACGTACCAATTGCGAAGTCGTTTATCTTGAAAGTGCAGAATTATCTTCTTTGCCGGCTCACGCACATGTTTCTAATCGCGAGGCGGCCGCGATCGGTATATTAAGCGGTGGCAAAAATCCGACCACGGCCACTTAGTGTATCCCATTAGATAAATGTCCTCCAGTTGCCGAGGATATTAGATTTAGGTGGAGACACGGCGATTTACTACAATATCCACCGTAATTTGTATCGCATAATGGATAGAGGCGTGCACAGCGCCCGCTGGCGGCGGCGTTCTCACTATCGCGATCAGTGCTTCTCAAAATTCACTTTTAACAACTTTAAACTCTTCCCCTACCTTAATCTTCATCTTTAATAATAACTATTTTATATCGAATTTAAAAAAAAAAATTTATACAACTTCAATCAATGATGATCAACTGTAAAAGCTTCGTCATTGTTAGTGAAAGATTAGGAGTTACCTAGCATTGAGAGCCACTGACATCTTTCAAAGCCAAGCAATCAGCTAGCGGTAGTACTGGGAAAAGTATGTAAAATAAAGCAATTCGAGTAGGAGCTCGATAATTTATCTCGTGGGAAAATAATTGTTATCGGGATTGCAACCACTGTCCAAAGTCTGTTGTCAACTAAGAACTATTATGATCGTTATTCTATCGGAGTATCATCAGGTTTTTACCACCTCCATATCTTATTGAGTAAAAAAATTGTTCGCTTCGGTAATTCTTTGTGGTAATGCTTCAAGTTAATCAAGTTAAGTTAAACAGCACTATCTAATAATATGTAGTAATCAGACTTAGACTCTTAAAAACATTTATGGTGTCAAGATCAGATCATCTTCCAATTAGTGTTTTGTTGTGTTCATAAATGCTGTTAGAATAAAATGAACAACGTGCGTTCTTTTTTTGTCGTTTATACGATATCAGTTGACATTCCGGTACAGCATTTTAAAGTTATTTCAAAACCGTTTATGAATGTAAATCATCAGCCTATCTATAATGATCCCATTAGAAATTATTTTCATTTCAAACGAGCAACAAGCAATAAGCTTGTTTGAAAGCATCGGCATTCTATTAATACACGGGATAGAAATACCACTTGTACTACGCGTAATTTAATATGATCGGCACAACGAAAATAAAGCAAAAAGACATCTCAAATCTGAGACGAGACGTTGCTTTGGTGGAGAAGTGTTAGCTCGTCATCACGGCGTTATAGAAAAATACATTCCTTGTAATAATGCGGACGGCATATTAAAGCACCAGTAATGAATGACGAGGCGGATTCGCCAAAAGGTGCCGAGAATGCAAACTGTAAAGGTCAGGGCCGGATTAAACCTTCGGGCTTCAAAGTGTCAGCAAATATCAATCTCTAATCGCCTCGTTTGCACAAAAATATGATACGTCGGTAATAATATTTCGAATATATTTTATGATTACGCAAATATATTATTTACGTAACATTACATATTTTAAGTAGCTTATACCAGTAAGTAATAAGTAGCTTATATCAGTATAAAAAATTAAATCCCGTCCTGATTAAATCTGGAATGTAATCTTGTTTAATCAAGAGTGTCCGAGGATCTGACAAGGTCGTGTAAACCATATTTTAAAACGGAAGTGCACGTCGGCCTTCATCGCTACTTGAGACGCAAATTAAATAAACTCGAGAGATTTTACCACGTGGTACGTACTCAAGGATTAACGCGATGACTGGATACTTGAAGAATAAACCGACTCAAAGATGCAACTGTAAGCTGCAGCTTAAAAACGATTACAATAAATTCAACCTGGCGACTTTATTTGTCAAAAGATCAACGCTAGAAACCTCGAGAGATCAGCTTCTGTAATAATTCCAACTGCGAAATTGTATATAAACGAGTTGATTTGAGGATTGAAACTCAGTGATTATAGTGAGCCTCAAACAACCGCATATATTATCTTTAATGTGATTACTATTTTATAATAAGAAAATATTTTTTGTTGTGTTATCATTTGTAATTTGTTTCAGGTCATAATCCAGAAAAATATTACACTCTCCCAGCTAGAAGAAAGAACCGCCCCGAATACAATCAATCTTCCTTAGAGCGCAAATCGAAACGAAGAAACAGCGACGAAATAGTAATCCCCCCAAAGAAGCCCCCTAGAACATTTGCAAGTACTCGTACAAAATCCCCACAACGCACATCGATATTTAATCTGTTCAAAAAATCCGAAGTCCCGGCACCTCCACCAAAAAAGAAATCGAACCTCAGACGGAGTGTAAGCGATGCTTCAGCATTAAAATCAAAGTCAAACGATGTTCAAACAACTAAAAAACGAGCAGAGGGCGAATCAAAGGATATTTCTAACTTAAAATCAACCCCCAAAAAGCAACTTTCGCCGATAATCGAGGTAACCCCGAGGGAAGATTACTTCCAATCTATCGATAAGGAGATCATCGACGATAATGTGAAGAAAGATGTAGGTCATCCTAAAAGTGTTACTGAACAACTTCAGGAATACATTGATGAGGTGGATGAAGATCTTTATAAAGAAACGGGAATTAGGATCAGTCCTCCAAAAGAGAAAGATAAGTCACCTCGACCCGTGATTATCGATGTTGATGAAGCTGATCAAATTTCAAAGAAGAAAACAAAGAGTTTTGGGAGTAAATTGAGATCGTTAACGAAGCGAGGTGAAAAGAAAAAGGATAAAAATAAAGAAAACCATAAAATCAAAGAAGTTACGAGAAGTATTTCCGTTAAAACCGATAGAAAAACAAAAGCAGCAGAATTACCTTTGGTAAGAACTAAATCGTTAGAAGATATACCGATTGATTTCAAAGAAGTGCCATCAATTTCTCCGAATATTCAGAAAGTTATTGATAATTTCGAAAATAAAAATAAAGAAGACATGATCCATAGTAGTCAAAAACCCGTGGATAAGTTGCCATTAACAAGGGGAAGAACCGTCGACAATATGGTTAAAAGATTAAGCAGGAAATCAACATCACCACCTCCTCCAAAAACAAATATTACCATAACACCATCCGGTAGTGTTCAACATAATAACAACCAACCTTTTTCCTACACACGGGGTTTAAGCCCCGATAAAAATGATTCTCCAACCAGTCCCAAGCCAATAATTTACGCCCAAGTTGTTTGCAATAACAAAACAATTCCAAATAAACAAACAGTTCATACTTACGTTAATGGAAAAAAGAACATTCCGCATTCAGATTCCGATGAAGGATTAGGTTATGAAGAAAATACCGGTTTTAGTAGAAAATATGACGAGAAACCCACCACTAGATTTGGAGATCACGATTTTTATAAAAAACCTAAAGATTATTTCATCGAAGAAGAATTTATAACCCCCAAATTTAAAAGTGTTGGATATAATGGATTTAGTAGTTACGAAAATAATTATGATAATAAATTCAAAACAACAGAACAAAGTTATTTTACAGAACGCGGGAGAGGTGATGGGATGGACGCAAAAAGACGCGAAAGTCTAACAGAACAAGAAGACGTTACTAAATTCAACGGCAACAGAAATGATTTAAGCGCAAGAAGAGATATTTTAGAATCGAGAATAAATCGTCGATTTGGCGAAAAATCTTATAGAATATCTCCAGAATATTCTCCAAAAACAAATAAAAATAACGTAAATAACGTTTACATAACAGAAACAAATTCAAAATATTATAGGAGTGGATCAGCTAGTCCTGTGGGATACAAAGAAACTTATACCTCTGAAACTATGATCGATAGAAAAGGAGAAAAACATAAAACGGAATCGAGGAACCGCCAATATTTCGGAGAACCAGAAAGAATAACATACAAAGACAGGTTTAAAGAGGACTATAGATACAACAGTTTCGAGAATGAACCAAAAAGTTTTGACTCCCAAATAAGTGACTACAGGTCGTCGCCCGAGAACAACCGCTACTTCGAAACTAGTCAAAACTACAGGTCCACCCACAAAGATAAATATTTAAAGACCAACCAGCATATAAGAAAGGACAGAAACGTATACAAATCGAACCCGGAGATACACCACAGAAGTTACGACAACTACAAATACGACGACGGGTATCAAGAGACTTACCACGATTCTTTGAAACGAGAAAAACACGATAACCGAACTTCTTCGAAATACAGAAACGAAAGATATTTCGACCAGAACGACAACGAACGAAAAGATAAATTTGGTGACTCGGGAATTGAAAACGATTTTAGAAGAGACTCGGGCGATAATTTTAAATTACCAAGATCGGATAAGAAACGCGAACCGAGCAACGAAAGCGAAGACGAAGGATTCGCTAGTTCTTTATTGATCGCTAGCGAACGACAACATACCGAAGATAATTTCGCTCGGAGAAGACGCGAAGCTAGAGATAGTAAAGAAAAAGATGATCATTTTAGAAATTTGGAATCTATGGAATATAATAAGTACAAAAAATACGAGTACTCGCCTAGGGAGAGGAGTATAGATGATGGATCTCATTATGATCCTCGACTTGACAAGGAATTCGATAGGGGAACATTGAAAAAAATTCAAAAGAAACCACCGAAACCAGAGAAAAAGAGCGGTTTAGAAAAAGTAAGTCATAATCATTCTTCTTATTATTATTTTAATAATATTTACTTGGTTAATAGGTAAAGCAATTATTTTCAAGAGACACAAAAAAGAAAAAAGAGAAAGAAAAAAATATGGTTAGTGAAGAAAATCTTCGGTCAAGATACACTGAATACAGGGGAAGCAGGGAAGAATTAGAACCGAAAATAAAACGAAAAGAGATGAACGAAATACACACGGTAAGTAGTCTATGATAATTATTATTCATTATTCCTATTCATACCGTCTCAACCGAAGTGAAACCGAATAATTTCGATAAAATGACAAAGTTATAAATTGAGTTGTTTGTTCCGTGATCATCATCAAATCAAAAAAAATATTTAAAAAAAATACTCGATACGGGTCCTTACTAAGTATGTTATTACGTTTAATGGGACCGGCAAATCTTCAAAATCCACGGGGCGTTACAAATCTAGGCGGGGAGTTGACTTTGAGTAATAGTTAACGTTTTGTTCTGGCAGTTCTCTTCTTGACCTTCAGGTTAGGGAACGCTCTTGAGACTTATACAGATAACGTCTAATGGACCGTGCTAACAATTTTTTTAACGTCTGCTTCGTAATGAATAGGATGCGCAAAAAATATTCATCCGGATTGGTTTCGTTTTTCCCACATAGTTCAGTTTAACAATAATATTGTGTTGTACAATTATTATTTATGTTAATACTAATCAACCAACCTTTTCAGTTAAATTTAAAACATTGTGGAATAATTGAAAACTATTTTGAAATTTTTTCTTTATTTATACTTCGCTTGTAATAATAATAATAATAATAACTTTATTCAGGCTTCATCAAGTACAAACTTAAAAAAAAATATATATTATACATATACAAAGGTAAAGAAAATGATAAGTACATGCTAAACCCGTGCGACGATAGCAACAAACCTCCCATCTACTTTCTTAGCTGATATCTTCCTTATAATTAGGGATAGCGAAAAACTAAATGCACCACTTGAAAGCTTGAATCTTTCTCTATCTAAAACCGGGGTTTCGTCTGCCGATAAGTTGATATTAAGATCAATAAAAAATGAAGAACACCGCGCTGTACTTAAAATAGCTCAAAATTACAAAACTTCAAGGCCTTGTGCAATTGTTACGAAACAGAATTTTAAAAAACTGTTATCACAGTCAGAAAGGTTGCTCCTTCAGCTATCTTAATCCGGGTTTTCGTCGGTCAATATCTATCGGCGTCATGCTTAAATCAATAGAAAACTATAGAAGCATATCTATCTTATTGAAAATTTTCTGCTCTTTCTAGTGGTGTACAACACGCGACGATCACGCGCTTGCACACGTACATTTTTGACCAAAAACTGCAAAATTCATACGTGTTAGCCATTCTTAAATCTTGTTCGGGTCGATAACTTTCTTATATGAGCAGGAGAAAACTCTAGAACCATATCTATCTTATCGGAAATTTCCTGCTCTTTTTAATGGTGTCTTTTAATAACAATTATACACTTTAATTTAACAATAATTATTAATTAAAGTTATACAGGATGATCAGAAATGTGCGTCAAATTTCCGTATCTCAAAAAGTTAATTTTTTTAAATGGCAACTCTACTTTTTTCCCTCACCACCGTATTATATGCTTAAAAATCAGGAGACTTTGTGATTACATCCCATACTAGTAGAGTTACTAGTAAACATACTAGTAGACTTTAAATTTAGTTACTTTACTGTAGACTTTAAAATGCGCACACCCAATATTCGCAAAAGATTTGAGTAAACCTTAACTGGAAAGACATGTTTAAATTTTTTAAAAACTGTGCCATTCCTTCCATCCCGCTAATTTTGACCCATCTCAATTCCAACGGCAGTTTTTAGATAGAGAAAGATTCAAGCTTTCATGTGGTGCATTTAGTTTTTCGCTATCCCTAATTATAAGGAAGATATCAGCTAAGAAAGTAGATAGGAAATTACGGGTAAAAGTTTGTTGGTGGGAGATTTGTTGCTATCGTCGCACGGGTACATGCTAAAGTAAAATAAAATACATTAAAGCCTGAATTTAGGCGGAGTTCAGGTAACACCTGTTCTACCACTCAAACCCAAATCAAAAACAATAATAAACTAAAAAAAGAAAAATTCAATGACAACTGAGCACCGTCATAGGCTAATGTCGAACATGCACAATAGTTAGCCACAGATACTGTACTATAGAGTGTCCAAATGATATCATACAAGTATCTCATCCCCCGAGGCCACCAAGCACAAGCCCACAGTCACACAGCCAAAACCCAGTCCGACAAAGATTTCTTAAATCGGTTCAAGGGTAGACCCACTAAATGTTTAGGAAGATTATTATAAACAGATGTAATTTGATATGAGAAGCATCTCTTAAAAAATTCCAAACGATGGGAAGGAGGAGTTAACCTACCCCTGAACCGGATATTGACATTGTGTACGTCCGTTCTAAAGTTAATTCTGTCGAATAGATAAGGGGGGCTCCGCTCCGTAATAATCTTATAATAAAAACATGCTTTGTGAACATACCGACGCGACTTCATATTCATCCATTTAAGTTTCTTAAAAGCAAAAGAGACATGATCGTACTTTCTCAACCCAAAGATCAGCCGGACACAGGAATTCTGGAGCTTTTGAATTTTCTGTTGATGGCGGGAGTCAATAAATGAACCATAAATGTTATCACAATAATTAAAATGTGATAAGACGAGAGAGTCACACAAGAGTTTTTTAACAGAATTATCAAGGCAATGTCGATTACTGAAAATCAATCTCAGAGAGCCATATGCCCGCTTTAACAGCATATTAACATGTTCCCTAAAGTTTAGTGACTCATCAATAATCAGGCCAAGGTTCCTAACAGATCCACTCAGAGGAAGAGGCNAGAGAGGCAGCACACTGTTGCCAAGCCCTCGTAATTCGCTTTGGCGCAGCTGTGCGCCGCGGCTCGCAATACTTTTTATCCGAATGGTAATGACGCCGGCCGGTGCTGGTGCCGTTGCGAAACCTCTATTTTTATAATATTTTATCGAAAATTACCTCGACCGACACACGGTCAACACACACTTCCATTAATTAAAACGTGGTAACCCTCGAGGGCGTACGCCACATTGCGCGGATCACGTCACCCCTTTTGTTTCATTTCGATTCGTTATAATTCATCGCGGCGAGGCGACCCCGAGGCTAACTAGCCCACGGGTTTACCCCGCAAGTCTCGATACTGATCAGGAAGTATATCGGTTATGTGCATCTTACAGAAATAATACGATAATTACTTTTACATTCATTTTAGCGGCGGTATACACAGAAACAGAAATTTGCGTGGCCAAAGGTGGCCAACACGTTGCAGTGCTTTGCCACCAAGTTCTCATTTACCTGAACTTAGCCCAAAGAGTTTATGACTTCACCTGATTATGGCAGAAAACTACATCATCTCGGCATCAAGCGATCTCGACTAATCTCAAAACGGAGAATGTAGGAATGTGGCTGATTAAGCAAAGGCGTTTGATATCGAAGATCTATCTTTATACATTACCCTAAAGGTGGTGGAACACTTATGGTGATAACGTATGATTTTATCATATTGCGCCGGGGATACTTGTGGTGGAGGCTCTTCAATGAATATTTTATAACTCCAAAGGTGACGAACACGTTGCAGCGTTTTGCCGGCGAGTTACCACTTAACTAAACTTAGGACGAAAAGTTTATGACTTCACCTAATTATGGCAGAAATATATGATTTAAAATTGCAACTCCTCGACATCACGTGACTTTGTCTAAATACAGAACAGAAAATGTAGGAATATTCCTGATGAAATCGAGGCCACTTGTGACCGAGGCTCTATCATTACATATATGGATGATGCATGGATTAACAATCATGGTGGAAATGTATGATTTTTGCCAATTTAGTAATTGGTACAATCTGCAATGAATATTATATCACTGCATAGGCAATCTTTGCATGATACCCAGAAAAACTACCCGAAGCTTAAGGAAAAAAGTTTATGACTTTTACCCTGTGGATTTTATCAGTTCCTTCATTTTTCTTACGATTTTGTCTGTGGGGTCCTTCTTGATCTTCCTGTAGGTGGCTGGGTCCAGTAGGTTCATCATTTTGTCGTCGTATTCTTTCCTGTCCATAACAACGGTGGCATTCCCCTTGTCTGCTGGTAACACGACGATTTCTGACTTTTCTTTTATAGATCGGAGTGCCTTCTTTTCAAATCTTTTCAAAAAAGGTTGCAACATGGCATCCGAAACGTCAAAGTTTTTATTAAAAGACGCACGGCAAAACCCGAAAGTTTCTAGTGTTAGTTCTAATTTTATTTCTTTCTCTGTCTTTATTTCTTTTCGGAACAATTCAAAATCGGATTTTTGCCAAATATTTTATAGATTATGTCCTTCTCCTCGTCCTCAGTTCTTCCATCTTTGAGAGGGTTTTGGTGATATTAAGTGTGTTACAACCTAATTCTTCTCCATTCCTTCCGATTTTGTGCTATCTATATGGCATGGTGCATTGAGTGTCTCATCAGTTCCTTCAGCTTATCTGCCCATCTTGTCGATCTTCTCCGTGCTCATTTTTTCCTCTACAACAAGGATTCCATCTCTCCGGTTTGCTGTCATCGGTAAGTGTCCAAAGTAGCTAAGGTATGATCTATTAATCTAGTTTTAGTTCAATAATAGATATAAAGATACATGTTTTTGAATGTTTCTGGTTTTAGTTGTACTAAAACTGCATATAGAGCAATAAATAGTCTTTCTGAGTAGGATCACTTTTGTGGCAGTTACTTGTAATTTCAAACCCTCTTGTTATTTTAGGATGAAAACTTTTTACCATCGATTCTCTATGAATTTGATTTGTTACTCGGTAATACTGAGACTATCGTCCTAAATTCCACCTGTAATTGTAATTGATATATTTTTTATTAACAAATTTTAAAAACCGATAAATTCAGTTGGGGAAGAGTTATTGCTTGAAATGCAATTCTTTTATTGTTTCTTTTTAGCAATTAACAGATGCTTACAACATACTAATTAAATCCATTCCTAATTAAAACATTTCGATTATTCTGTTTTTTTTAATGACCACCCAACCTCATTATACAATTTTGATTATGTAACAACTAAATGGTCTTGCTATAAAAATAAAAACGACCACTTTAATTATCGTTCACCATAGAAAATATTCAAATATTCAGTTATTCCGACCTTGGTCTAACACGTAGGCGTAGAAACCTCCCAAAGAATTTTATAATTACCAACAACCGAGACAAACTAAATGATCTTGTTTCTCTTGGTTTTATTTGAATTTTCCATTGTCTTTAATGCCGTGGGGAATCGAAAATTGGTTGTTTGAAACTCGAAGCGGCTACGGAGAAAGTGAAGAAAGCTGTTGCATTCGGTCCGTCGAGGCTCTTCGCCGTTACGTCACGCTCGAGACTAGGTCTAGTGCTCCTTATATGGTTGGGCAGGTTTGCAAGTCGGTCATCGTACATCGAGACCGGCAAATGAGTCACCTTTTTGCACCAGGAGCAGTCTCGCAGCAAAACGCCAACGCTCAAACCAACTTTAGGTTTCTGCTTGCCTTCTTCACTTTTTCATCTCATCGATAATTATAAAAAACATCGATTTCAGTTGTAAAGTGTTAAAATTATACGCATATAGAAAAAATTAACTATGTTAATTTAAACCAATATGAATAAATTTCATATGATCAAAATGTATACACCTCAAATAAAAACAAGCTTATTAGACTTTATTTAAATTTTAAATGGTAAAACCAAATCAAAATTACTTGAATATAATTAAATAGAAATTTGATTATCAATTGAAATCATCTTATAACAGCTTCTTGTCTTGTAAACATCTGATTTTGTTGATCGTTTTCTTTATAAATTGCAGCTTGAGTTTTCGATTCAATCCCAATCAATTCGCGGCAATTTAACCGGTGTCCGATCGAAATAAATCACTCGGTTTGTCATTCCGATCCATTAAAACCGTCTTTTTTCATACGGCGAGTCGTAATTTACACCTACCGCTAAAAAAATTGGTTCAGTTTTTTAACGATTCGAGCGGTATCTCCCGGGCACGAGTGTGGCAATTTTCCGTCCATAAATCATATTCGACACGCAACGCTAGTTTTTCGCGCAAACCCCGTGACTCATCGTCTCCTGCGGGCGTCTTCGCGCAATCCGAGATTATCTGGACTGCACACGTCGAATCTGCTTTTTCTTCTAACAGATCGATTTTTTTTCGAACCAATCGAACCTTGTAATTTTGTCATATAATGTTGTATTCAAATAATATGAAAAAAATTAAACAACTTAACTTTTTTTTTGAGTGTGTTATCTCATTTTCTGGTAGGGTAAAACGCCAGTAATTGACCGTTGGTCAGGGTTTGACCGTTTTTGTAAAAAAATGTAAAAAATAAGGATCCAAGGAATATCTAAAAAAAATATAAATATATCCATAAACAGCCACCAGTCTCCTCTCCACCCCCTAGTACACAAAAAGTCCACGGCCATACCGTTCTTGAGTTTTTGTTGTTTAATTTCACGCTAACTGCCGGCCTATTCACATCGTGTTAAAAAGCGTAATTTTTATGTTTAGAAATTCGCCCAAACAGGGTAGTACTATTCAGCCGTTTTTACATGTATAATGTTTTTTTTTTGTTTGTCAGTGATCTAATAATGTTTTCTATTGGTTATATTAAAAAAATACCGCTTTAATTAATTATTTGTTGAAATAAAGCCGGTCAATGACTGGTAGTTCTAAATTTTATTAAAAATTAGTGTTTGACCAAACGGTCAAATACTAGACGAATTGCTTGTTTTATAATCTCACAAAGATTTATATTTGATTAATAAAATGGAAAAATGTGTAACCTGTTTTTAAAACTTATATCTTCCCGTTTAAGTTGTTTAGTATTTGACCAAAACTTTTATACTTTAAAAGTAAGATACAATCAGGTTAAATATGCGGTCAATTACTGGTTCCTCTTTTGGTCATTTATAGGACACAAACACTCAAAACTGAGTTTTTTAACCGATTTTAAATTTTATATATACAGGCTGTCCCGTTAAGCGTACGGAGCGACTGTATCTCAACAACGGTAAGGCCTAGAGGTTTGGGAAAAAAATCTTTATAAGCAAAGTGGGCAAGAGAAATAGCTGGAAATTATTTTGAAGTTCGTAATTCGACCGCTAGGGGGCGTAACTGCCATTGAGAAACATAAAATTCCCGCTATCTCAGAAATTTAGACGATGAGCTATAACTTTGACAACATCATTTAGTAGCTTGGATAATACCGCATCGCTTTTGTTTTGCGATATTTCTCATATCTGTCATAATAAGGGAGGGGGAGGCCAATGCGTTTTCAAATGTTTACATTTTAATATCTCCTGGACCATTCAACCGATTTGAATATTTTTGGTCTTGTTTGAAAGAGCATTTCATGCTCTTTTAAAAGATATTTTCAGTAAGACCGCTTGGTTTAAAACAAATAAGCTAGAGGGCGTTATCTGCAGCGGTTACATATTTTTGTGATTTTTGAAAAAAAGTTAAATGGAACGGTACTATTTA